ATGCCTGACCATGGTTCAAGTCCCAGACCTGGCAGCTTGCTTTCTCACTTTCCCTCTCTCTATCTCTCTCTCTCTGGTGAAAAATTAATAATATAATAAATGAAATTAAATAAATATTTCTATAAAAATCATGACTTTCTTGTCTTTCATTTTCTTTCTTTTCCCTTTTCTTTTTGCTATAGGCTAAAAGAGCTTGTCATAGAGAGGCAGAGAGAGAGAGAGAGAGAGAGAGAGAGAGAAAGTTGAGAAATAATTCTCTCCTCTCCCCATCTTCAGCCTCCCTTCTCCTCTCCAGTCTGCTCTTGGGATTTTGGGGCACACATGCACATGTGTCAGTACAATTTTCAAGCCACCAGGTCCAGGATTTGAATTGCACAGTCAGCCATATAGTGTCCAGTGTCCACCTACTGGCCCCAAATCACAACTTGCTAAAACTGAAACAAGCAAAAATATAAGCTCTGAACAGACTCTGTCAAAAATATTTGAAGCCATAATTTGAAATCTCCCTACAGAGAAATCCCAGATGGCTTCAGTAATGAAATCGATCAAATACTTAAGGAGGAAATAATCATTTCTTTTTCTCTTTTTGGAGAGGTTTTTGCTATAGGGTGCGTGCACTTGCCAAACAGACAGAGAGAGACAGAGAGACAGAAAGCGAGAAATCACCCCCCAGGGGGGATGGCCATGCTGCAATCCCTTCTCCTCCATTCTCCTCTCGGGATCTTGGGCACGTACGCACACGGGATCTTGGGCACGTACGCACACGCGCCCAGTATGAGTTCAAGCCACTGGGTCCAGGACTCTAACCGCAGTCGACTACATGGGAGTCCAGCGACATAGCCATTACACTAACTGCTGGTCCCAGAAATAATAATTTTTTTTACACAAATTATTTCAAAGAATAGAGGAAAAGGGAGTACTTTCCAATACATTTTAGAAGCCCAAAACCTAAGGTATTATAAAAAAGGAAAATTGTAGGATAATATCTTTCATGAACAGAGATATGAAAGTCCCAAGAAAACTCAGTTATTTATTAAAATGACTGTGACCAAGTGGTCTTTTCTTTTTCCCTCAAGGAAATGTAATAGATTTCAGATTGAAAAATTAATTGGTGCAATTCACCAAAGTAAGAACATAATGAAGAAAAACCATATGATTTCCTCAATAGATAAAGAAATAAAGAAAAAGCTTTCGATAGATGTTAAATTCATAGGGCCAACTGGTGTCAGGGTGGTTAAGGCAGCTAGATTCCATATGATCAACTGCACAGTTCGAGTCCCAGGCCTGGTGATTTGAAAAGCGTGTTGGGTATGTGAACGTGCCTGAAATCTCAAGAAGAGAGTAGAGGAGAAGGGATTGCAGCATTGCCATCCTTTCTTTTTTTTTTCTTTTTTTCTTTTTTTTTTTTTTTGGAGAGATTTTCACTGTAGGGCGCGTGCGCTCGCCAGACAGACAGAGAGAGACATAGAGACAGAAAGCGAGAAATCACCCCCCAGGGGGGATGGTCACGCCGCAATCCCTTCTCCTCCATTCTCCTCTCGGGATCTTGGGCACGCACGCACACGCGCCCGGCGTGAGTTTTAAGCCACTGGGTCCGGGACATGAACCGCGGTCGACTACGTGGGAGTCCAGCGACATAGCCATTATGCTAACTGCTGGTTCCCATTGCCATCCTTTCTTAAAGGTGCTTTCTCACTTTCCCTCTTTCTCTGTTGCTCTCCAGTGAGCACATGCAAACTTAGCAAATAAAAAATAAATTAAAGAATTGAATTCCTATATGATGACACTTAGAAAAACCAAGAGCGGCTTGTTTAATCTGTCAAGATTATATCAATAACCAAAATTCTACTGTAAACATACAGTGAAATATACAGACTATTTCCAGAAAAATAGTAGCAATATTTTTGAAAGATGAGATTAACTTGCAATAGTAGAGACTCATCAAATATCAGAAAATAAGTCTTGTGTCTATAACCAAAGTTCTAAGAGCGTCCCTTTGTGTAGCCTCAGAGTCCACTATGTCAATTTGGTCTCTTTAAAAAACAGTGGGAGGGGTCAGTTGGTGGCAGAGCTCTAAAACGTGATTCTACAAGACAGTCAATCCTGCATTGGATGGTTCCAAGCCTGTGTCTGGAGCCATCCCTGAATACACAATTCTATGCACGTGACCCAGGACTAGCCGAGGCTGGGAGTTGATCTCAGTTTGGACCTGGTTGGCATGCTTTATTTTTCTCTCTTGCTCATGGAGGAAATAGACTTTTAAAAATTATTAAAAAGACAAGAAGGATGACGAACGCAGGGCCTGCTTTGGGGTCTCACAAGATGTAGTCTGCACTGGAGGAGCGGGAAGAGTGCTGATAGAAGGATGATATCCTTTCAGAGGACTCCCGGGGAATCCGTCTTCCCACGAGGAAGAAGATGTAGCTGCAACTTTTCTGCAACACTTCTGCAACACTTTTCTTGAACTTCTCACCCATGAACGCGTAGATAACAGGGTTCACACAGCAGTGAGTGAAGGAAATGGTTTCTGTGGCATGGGTGGCAGAAATCAGCTGCTGGCTCACGACGCAGCCATCCAAGATGTGCAGGTTGTGCAGAGATGTGAGGAAGAGGACCAGGTTGAACGGGACCCAGAAGAGGAACGAGGCAATGACCACGATGAGCACCAGCTTGATGGCCTTGGTCTTGTTCTGGTTTTGGCAACTCTTCAGCTGGTGCAGGATGCTAATGTAGCAGAACATCAGGATGGTGAAGGGGATCAAGAGGCCCAAGATGTTCATTTCAAAGTGGGTGAAGATCTTCCACTTCAAGGTTTGCTGATTATAAAACGAGTAGCACTGTAGAACACCATCTTCAGACTCCACTTGGTAAAACACTAGCAATGGGCTGGAGGCCACAATGGCGGTCAGCCACACTGCCAGACTCAGGACTATGCCCTTCCTGGCTGTCCTCACTTTTATGGCATACACAGCGTGGACGATCGCCAGGTACCTGTCCACGCTCATGAGCGTGATGAAGAACATGCTGCTGAAGAAGCCAATGTAATAAAAACCAGAGACCACCTTGCACATTACAGTCCCGAACACCCACTGGTCTAGCTGGTAGTGGGTCTGGAAGGGGAAGGAGAAGACAAAAAGCAAGTCAGACAGGGCCAGGTTCAAGAGGTATATATCGGTGATGCTCCTCAGCTTCTTGCAGGCCACCAGAACCAGGATGACCAGGCTGTTCCCCAGAAGGCCGACTACAAACAGCAGGCAGTAAAGGACAGCAAGAAGCATCTTGCTGTCTCTCTGGATAAATTCCTCATCGCAGGGGCTCAAGGAGATATCGGGATAGTACTCGGTCAGTGTTGTCACGTTGGGCTGGAGTGTATAATCCATCAAGGCGGGGAAGCCTGGTCACAGAGACACATAAGAAAGATTCATTTCTTAAAAATATACATATATTTCTTTTTCTTTTTCTTTGGAGAGGTTTTTGCTCTAGGGCGCGTGCGTTCAGCAGACAGATAGAGACAGAGAGACAGAAAGCGAGAAATCACCCCCCAGGGGGCCTGATCACGCCCCCAAGGGGGGACGGCCATGCTGCAATCCCTTCTCCTCCATTCTCCTCTTGGGATCTTGGGCACACACGCACACAGGCCCGGTGTAAGTTTAAACCACCAGGTCCGGGATGCAAACTGTGGTCAACTACAGGGGAGTCCAGCAACATAGCCATTATGCTATCTGCTGGTCCCAATTTCTTAAAAATATTTTTTATTTTGGGGCCAGTAGGTGTCATGGTGGTTAAGGAACTGGACTCCCACATAGCTGAGCATGGTTCAAGTCCTGGACCCAGGAGCTTGAAAATCTCATCGGGCATGTGTGCCCAAGATCCACAGAGGAGAATGGAGGAGTAGGGATTGCGGTGTGGCTACCCCTCTGGGGAGGTGATTTCTTCCTCTCCCTCTCACTGTCTCTGTCTCTCTTACCAGCAAGCTCATGATTTAAAAAAAAAAATCAAGAGGAAGGCATGGACTGAATTATGTCCTCCCCAATTTCATATGTTGAAGCCCTAACCTTCAATGTGACTGTGTTTGGAGGTAGGGCATTTAAGGAGGTAAATAAGGTTAAATGAGGTCTAAAAGTGGGACCTTAGTCTGATAGGACCAGTATTTCTATAAGAAGAGAAAGAGGGGCTGGCAGGTGGCACGGTGGTTAAGAGACTGAACTCCAACGTGATGGACCATGGTTCGAGTCCCAGACTTGGTGGCTTGCCTTCTCACTTTCCCCTTCTCTCTGTTTCTCTCTGATCAAATAATAAAATAATAATAATTGGGAGGGCAGCAAATGCAAAGCACTCGTGTCACTGGACTCCTACATGGCCGACTGCAGTTCGAATCTCAGACGCAGTGGCTTCAAAATCATGCTGGGCACAAGTGCCTACATGCCCAAGATCCCAGGAGAATGGAGAAGGGATTGTGTTATGGTCATCCCCCCAGGGAGTGATTTCTCTTCCCCTCTCACTGTCTGTGTCTCTCTCCCTCTGGTGAACACACACACCCTAAGGCAAAAACCTCTCTTTTTTTGGAGAGGTTTTTGCTATAGGAAGCAAGAGCTTGCCCAAGAGACAGAGAGAAAGAAAGAGAGAAATCACCACCCCGGGAAGATGGCCATGCCGCAATCCCTTCTCCTCCATTTTCCTCCCAGGATCTTGGACATGCATGCACATGCGCCTGGCATGAGTTTAAGCCACCGGGTCAGAACTCGAACCGTGGTCAACTACATGAGAGTCCAGGGACACAGCCAGTATGCCAACTGCTGCTTCTAAGAAAAGCCAAGATGTACAAAGAATCATAAATACTCACAGTTCCCATAGTCCCACCACACAGAATTAGCGACTGCTGACACACCATGATTGTTTTGAGTCCTTTGTTCCTGTCTGCCTGCCTGCTTTTTGTCCTCCTTTCCTTCTTACCTCTCTCCCTCTTCTTTTTTCTTTCTCCTTTTTTTCTTTTCTCTTTCTTTCTTCCAAAATTGAGATGAATCTAAAGTTCCTTTAACTACACAACGTACCTCCACACCCCAGAAGCAACCACCAAAACCAGCAGAGGCGTGTTTAGATGCTCCACAGTTGCAGTCAGTATAGAAAGCATGAGGCTTCACCTCCCCTATAAAAGAACGAGCACACGGGAACCAGCAGTTAGCGTAATGGCTATGTCGCTGGACTCCCATGTAGTCGACCGCGGTTCGAGTCCCAGACCCGGTGGCTTAAAACTCACGCCGGGCGCGTGTGCATGCGTGCCCAAGATCCCGAGAGGAGAATGGAGGAGAAAGGATTGCGGTGTGACCATCCCCCCGGGGGGTGATTTCTCGCTTTCTGTCTCTATGTCTCTGTCTGTCTGGCGAGCACATGCGCCCTATAGCAAAAACCTCTCCAAAAAGAAAAAAAAAAGAGCACAGAACAGCTACGGCCACAGTGACTCCACCAGAGATGCCTGGCCCTCCAACCCCAGCTTTTCTGTCTGTCCTTTCTCAATCCAAAGCCCTTTTTCTCAAGGCCCCCCAACTCTTTGCTGCCAGGCTGCAGCAAGCAAGCAATTTTTTAAGAAATTAATTTCAGGAGACCAGCAGTTAGCATAATGGCTATGTCACTGAACTCCCATGTAGCCGACCATGGTTTGAATCCCTGACCCAGTGGCTTAAACTCACAGCGGATCTTGGGTGTGCGTGCCCAGATCCTGAGAGGAGAATGGAGGAGAAGGGATTGCAGTGTGGCCATCCCCCTTGGGGGGTGATTTCTCGCTTTCTGTCTCTCTGTCTCTCTCTCTGTCTTTCTGGCGAGCGTATGTGCCCTATGGCAAAAACCTCTCAAAAAAAAAAAGACAAAGAAATTAATCTCGGGGTCAGCAGGTGGTGTAGTAGTTAAGGGTGCTGGATTCCCACATGGTCGACCATGGTTCAAGTCCCAGACCTGGCGGCTTGCTTCCCTCTCTTTCTCCCTCTCTCTCTCTCTCACTGTGTCCCTCTCTGGTCAAATTAAAATAAATAAATTAATAAACAAATAAATGAAAGTTAAATAAAAATAATTCTTAAAAAAAGAAATTAGTTTCATATAAGTTTGTACCCAAAATTAATTTAAATAAAATACTTTCTCAATTATGGAGTTGGCCTTTAAGTCTTTTGTGGTCAGCGTCTCTAGAAACAACCGTCTCCTCTCCCACATCTTCCTTCCTTCTTATCTTTTACAGTTTTGTTCTTCTTAAGAGAGAATTTTTGCTATAGGAAGTGTGTGCTCACCACAAAGACAGAGAGAGACAGAGAGACAGAAAGCAAGAAATCAACTCCCCAGGGGTGATAGCCATGCTGCAATCCCTTCTCCTGCATTCCCCTCTTGGGATTTTGGGCATGCATGCACACGTGACTGGTGCGAGTTTGAAGCCGTCAGGTCTAGGACTTGAACCATGGTCGGCCACATGGGAGTCCAGCCACATAACCATTATGCCATCTGCTGGTCCCCTTTTGCAATTGTTTTTGAAAACAATTTTCAGTTCATCTTCCTTCTGTCCACTCCCTAATGCCCTATAATAAGAGTAGATTCTCGACCCATTCTCTTCCCCATCTCTTCCCTACTGACTCCCAAAGCATATTTCCCCATGCCCTCTTATTAATAAAACCCTTGAAAAGCATCAATAATACTTAATAGCATGGGGCCAGCAGGTGGCATGGTGGTTGAGGTGTCAGACTCCCACATGAGCAGCCACAGTTTGAGTCCTGGATCTGGTGGCTTGCTTTCTCACTTTCCCTTTCTCTGTCTTTCTCTGGTGAGTCCATGTGCATATAGCAAATCAAAAAATAATATAAATAAATAAATAAGTAAATAATACAAATTACTAAGGGGGTCAGGAATTTTGGATGGATTAATTCGCTGAATTAATTCTTATGAATCCCAGTGAAACGGGCAGCAGCATTTCCTTTCTACCTTCTGGAGTTAGAATTTGATCTGAATCTCGCAAAGTTAGGTAGCATGCCTAAAGTCACACCCTCTGAGATGACAGGCAAGACCTGAAATCACATCTGTCTATTCCAAAACCCTTTTCCATAATCCCATGTTTTGGGGATAGAAAAAAACAAACAAACAAAAAAAACTCCCATGTTTTGAAGTCTAAGCCACCTGACTTCCAAGTTCCAGGTGACCTTGTAGCGGGTCAACCCGAGCTGCTTTTTCAAGCTGAGCTTTGGGTGTCTCTTCTGTAAAAAGGGGCTGATAACAGCTTCAGGCTTTGGTAAGAATTGAGTGAGACGACTTAAGTTAGCATCTAGTCGGGGGCAGGAGTTTGCTTGCCAGCTTCCTTGTTCGAGAACAATATCCTTCAATAACTGCAGGTGCCCTTCAGTTACCTGACGGAGGAATTGGACCCAGCATGAGAACAGCTCTCTGTGATTCCTGATGATATGAAGGACCTTTTCTTTTTCTTTTTTGTCTTTTCTTTCTTTTTTTTTTAATTTGCTAAAGGATGCAAGTGCTTGCCAGAGAGAGATGGGGGAAGGGGGCATTGAGAAAGCACCCTCCATGGGGGATGGTCATGTTGCAATCTCTTCTCCATTTCTACCTCTTCTTGGGGTGTTTTCCAAGCCACTGGGCTCAGGACTTGAACTCCGCAGCTGGTCATATGGGATCCAGCTGCCTTAACCACCACATCACTGCCTGGCATTACCCTTTCTTATTTTCCTCCCCCCTCTTTTTTTTTTTTTGGAGAGGTTTTTGCTATAGGGCACGGGCGCTTGCCAGAAAGACAGAGAGAGACAGAGAGACAGAAAGCGAGAAATCACCCCCCAGAGGGGATGGTCACGCCGCAATCCCTTCTCCTCCATTCTCCTCTCGGGATCTTGGGCACGCAGGCATACGCACCCGGCATGAGTTTAAGCCACCGGGGCTGGGACACGAACCGTGGTCGACTACATGGGAGTCCAGCGACATAGCCATTACGCCAACTACTGGTCCCATTTATCTCCCCACTCTTATAGGAGCTTTGACTCTCTCCTAATGTCCTACAGAGAGAATGGCATGGCTTGCTCCCCCTGGCTAGAGTCACCGACAACCACTGACACATGTGGGGCTTATGGCCTCTGGAGACATGCAAAGATTAACACTAAAATGTCACCTTTTGTGACAGACCTCTGAAATACTGGCTTTCTTTTTGCCTCCCACTAGGACATAAGAGTGCCCCAGTAGACTCACGCCCTTCCATCCTAAGAATTCTTATTAAAACATACCTTAATTAGCACCTTGTTCTCGAGGTCTTGGTGGTTGCTGCCTCCTTCCTCCCAGTCTGCACCTTATGGCAGCAGGTGCAGCTAGGTACAGCACTCAGCTACACATATCCTCGGGTGATGAGGTGCAAGCTCCGCCCTCAGCACCTAGTGGAGTCTGCATCACATAACAAAGGGATACTTGCTTCTTCCTCTTCTTCTCCTCCTTCTCCTCCTCCTTCTCCTCCTCCTTTTTCTTCTTCTCCTTCTTCTTCTTCTTCTCCTTCTTCTCCTTCTCCTCCTCCTTCTTCTCCTCCTCCCTCTTCTTCTCCTTCTTCTCCTTCTCCTCCTCCTCCCCTCCTCCTTCTTCTTCTTTTTCTCCTCTTTCTTCTTTTTTAAGAGGTTTTTGCCCTAGAGGCATATACTGGGGTGGGGCAGAGACAGTGAGAAGAAAAGTGAGAAATCACCCCAACAGGGATGGCTATGCCATGATCCCTTCTGCTCTATTCTCTTCTTGGGGTCCCAGGCATGCACTCACCCACACTCATCATGAGTTTCAAGCCACTAGGTCTCAGACTCAAACAGCAGTGGGCCAGGTAGAAGTCCGGCGATGTAAACACTCCGCCATCTGCTGGACTGACTGTTTTCTTTTTTTGTTTTGTTTTGTTTTCTGTTTTTTTTTTGCTTGTTTTGTTTATTTCTTTCATCCAGTGAGAGAGACAATGCATAGCTCTCCATGCCTCAGACAGCCCCCGTTACATTGCTACATATACCGTGAAAAGTGAGGTCCGTGGCTCCGGTCTGATAGGTGAGAGGTTTTCATCTCCCTACCCACCATATTGGCTTAGAGAATATCTTGTCCCACCTAGGGAAGGAAACTATTCAAAGTATGAAACCAAGAAGTGGACACATTGTAGTCAAGAAATGGGAAGCATTGGGGACAGAAGTCTGACTGCTTTTTTCCAATTTTTCCAAAGTCCTTTCCAGGGGGCCTGGGGGGAGTCACCCACAGATGTTGACAGACCATTCTGGCCCATTAGTAACAGGATTTTTCCCCCTTGGCACAGTATTGGAGTATCTTTGGGATGTATATTAAGCCCCCTACTCTCTGTTAAAGTACATTCCTTTCTGATCTCACCAACCTTCCTTTTCCAATCACCACCCTAAAAACTGTAAACCCACCTATAACCTACAAGCCCCTTCTTTCCACATGTCCTGCCTTTTGGGGCCAGACCAATGGAAAAACTTTTCACTAAATTCCAAACTCTGTCTTTTGATCTCAAAATCAAATAAAAGGAATCCCGTACCTGATCACCCTAAGAAAGGCATGTTTTGCCTCCTCTTTGGGTCTAGGTCACTCATATTCTGCTTAGAAATAAATTGCATTGGGAACCAGCAG